TTTTTTTTCTTATCTCTTATTTATTTTATTTTTTATTTAATCAAATATTTATTTGTTTAATTTGTCTTTCACTTTATAGTGTCTTTTTTATTTTTTTAAATTGTATTATTTAATTTTCTTTAAACTTTATTATACAATTTGCTAGGAATATTGAAATGTTTTCTGTAAATAGCATTGGAGGGAATACATTTGATTATATTTTATTAAACTTTATTATACAATTTGTTTATAGAATCATAAAAAATAACAGATTAGTATTAGTTTTATTTTTATTTAGAAAAATAGAAGACATAATTCAATCAAATATGATAAATTGGATTTCTCATGACATAATTTTTTGAAACCATTTTTAATGCTAAAATATATGTGACTATTTTTTGGTTATTTTTAGTGAACTTTTTTTTTTTTGGGTATTAATTTGTATTATTTTAATTGTATGATTTGAGTTAATAAAAATACAAAATAATATTTATATGGTTTAATTATTATCATCTATATGGTTTATTAGTATTTTTTATGTATACAATTTAAGTTAACATTTATGTGGTTTGAATATTATTATTATTATTAATTTTGTACAATTTGAGTTAATATTTTTTTTATTAGTCTTTACAGATTTTTTTTTTGTAAATAAAAAATAATTATAAATAATTGTTATTTGCATTAATTCCAAACCGTACAAAGTATTTTTATTATGTAAGTTTTTTTTATATATTTATTGAATTATTAATTTAAATTTTTATTAAATATGTTAAATATTAGTTTTATTTTGAAGATTTTGTTGATATTTTTTGAATAATATTAATTTTATAAAAATTGAATTTATATATTAAAAATTATATGTATTTTATTAAAATAAAATTGAATAAAATTTGTTTTGTTTTTTAATTAAAAAAGTGAGGTGAGCGATGTGATGTGATAGAGAAAGGAAAGAAAGAAAGTGTATATATGTGACGTGTGTGTTTGGGGGTGAGTGCGAACTAGTCTTTTTGATATAGACATTAACAACGTAACAGTTGCAAATTAGTCCAAAATTATAAAGAATGTGTTTGCATATTTTTAATCATCAAGGAATTATCTGCAACCGTCTAAAATCACATAAGATTAAGTATTTTTTGCCCAAATTATATTTGATTAGATATGTGTTCTTAAATTTTTATTTGTTTGCCATCTACTGTGATAAAATAAAAATCTTGATGCAAGATCTTACGGTACATTGAAAAACAAAAAGAGCAGAAACTTTATAGATAGGGAATTGATCTCCCACCAACCAACCAACCAACCAACCATGTGCAAGTGTAACTAGAACCGCTATCGATGGACTCGAAACGCCTTATTTGAAAGATTGGCTATTTTAATTAGTTATTTAGTTTTTTTAATTAGTTTAATTTAGTTAAAATAATTGTGTTTGAAATTATTATTTTTTTTTTGGTAATTGATTTGATATTTGTGAAATTTTTTTTTTATAAATTAAATGTGATATTTTATTTTATTAAGTGTTTGGGATAAACTAAAAAAATATACTTTTTTTTACATGCATTTACTTATTTAGGTCACATCAATTAATATTTATCAACATCAATTATTTACTTTTCTAACTACTTTCTCTATTTTTCTACACATTTTTTTATATATAAAATGTCAAAAAATAGACTTATTTAAAACATCTCAAACCAATCATAATTGTTTTAATCTATTCTAACTCAATCATCCTCCCAAATATTCCGAAAGTAAAGAAAAATATTTGGGAGCTCTAAATTATGAGCTCTAAAAGAGTTCAAGGGGTGGGCCTTACTTATTGATGTGATGTTTTGGCTTTAGTTTCTTTTCTTTCTTTTTTTTGAAATTTTTATCTCGTTAGTGCTCAATTAATACTCCTAAATTAGTGGGATGAATAATTGTTGAAAAGTAAATTCTTAGGGAGCTTCAAAGAGTAATGCTAGAGACTCCAAAAATTTTACCAAAAATTTTATTAAATGTCTCACATGGGTGTGGAACCCACATGGGACCCACATTGTGTGGGTCCCACACCCATGTGAGATATTTGGTAAAACTTTTGATAGAATATTTGGGACCTCTAAGCATTTTTGAGCTTCAAACCCATCCAAATCAGCCATAATAATGCATACATAAAACTTCACAGATACATTCCACTAAAGTCAGATGTCCAAAATTTTATAAAAAGAAATTTACCCACAATAGTGAAATGTGACTGAAGTTCAATTATGGTATTGTAAAAGCCATGTTTTAGATGAATTTGAACTCAACAATAATATTTGGTTCCTTCGGGGACCTCTAATAAAATTGGAACAATAATATTTGTAAGTGAATTTTTGGATAAATTTTTTGAGTATATAAATATTAGTTAGGGTTGTCTTGAGAATATGTTATTTTAATAATTTTTAGTTTTTTAGTTAAAATATAAGGTGAAAAAAATTAGCATATTTGGAATAATTTTTAAACTTTTTACAAAAGAAAAGTGCAAAAAATAGAGAAGAAAGAAAATTTTTGACTTCTTTTTTTGTATAATTCTTGAACTTCTTAATTTTTTTAATAATTTTTTAACTAATATAAAAAGTATACAAACTTTAACCTTAATATTTAACCTAGTATAATGAAATAATTATTCTACTAAAATATTCAATTTTATATTTGATTCGCTAAAACATAAAAAATAAAATTACATTATAGATGGAAGGGTACAACTTACCACCAGCCCCCACTGTTTCGACTGTCGAGTTTTGGCCCATTTTGGGATTGTTTACCGATTTGAACCGTTTAAGTTTTGGATTAGATTTTTCCTATGTTGAGATTTTAATATGAAAAAATTTGAGGGGTTTATAAAACTTATTATGAATCTTGTTTTGACATTTTAAACTATTCATTTTGTACGACTTTTAATCCATATTATCCACGAGAAAATTTAAAACGATCCAATAATAATAACCATTTCATTTTATCGCATTTGTCTGTAAAAGGATGGATGGTCAATTTTAAAATTATATTTACCGTTCATTTTTTCGGAGACAAATGTCATAAAATGAAAAAGTTACAGATTATTGGATCGAATTATAATTTTTTTTTATGAACATTATTCATTGATAACCCCACAAAATGACCAGTTTAGATTATCAAGTCAGCACCCATAATTAGTCCTATAAGCTCCTCACAACCCTTAATTTTTAATGCATTATAAGCAAATCATTCATATAAAAAATTATATTGATCAAATATCACTTAGCCTCCGTTTGAAAAGTGGGTTGACTTTTTAACTTTTTGGCTTTTTTGGCTATTTTAACCTGGACTAAAAAGTTTGGTTTGGGAAGGACTTTTTGACTTTTTGACTTTTTTGACTTTTTTTGTGAGAGAAGAGTATAATGGTTATGGGTTGGATGTGATGTTTTGTTTGTTATGGCTAAAATAGCCTATTTCGTTTTTTGTGGCTAAAATAGCCAAAAAAAACCCAACCAACTTCTTCCCAAACGGTGCCTTAGTCGCATATTTAGATCACATTTATTTTTTAAAAAATAAACAATAAATATAATTTAATACATAATATCCATTTTAAAAATTCACATGTGATCTAAATATGTAATTACTAATATTCAATAAAATTAATTTTTTTCATGATCTACTTGAAATGCACTAACAAGTCAAATACCGAGGCAAATTAGCTAAAAGACCGATAGAGACCTCCTCAATCACCAACCCCCACCCCATGCACACTTGGCGTTGGAAGAAAAAAAAAAAATTAACCAATTAGAAAAGAAAGAGGGTCAAAGGACGGAGAGAAAGGAAATCTTGATCATTTTTCTTTAGCAGTAAGGGTTGATTTGAGATGTTCTAAAAAAGTATACTTTTTGACTTATTAGCTTATATGGGTTGAGTTTGAGTTGGATTTGATGTGATGTGTTAGAGAGGTGATGTGATTTAAATAAAATGATGTGACTTAAATAGGATAATAACTTTTTAACTTTTTGTATTATTTAGGCCTAATTTGGGAAGACTAAATAAGTGCACTTTTTGACTTTTTTTGTATTATGTGTAGAAAAAGTAAAAAAGAGATATTGATTGATGTGACCCAAAAAAGATAAAAAGATGAAATAAGTACACTTTTTTTGCAGTAGCCAAACTAGGCCTTAGTATACCCCAAACCAAGCCTAATATTTAGTGTACTCCAAACCAAGCCTAAGTTTAACTCTTAACGTTATTATTTGATTGAAAAGTAACAGTTATAAATTACAATCATTCAAGATGTAGCTCACATTCATCATTATTAAGATCCCATTTGACAATTAATTATTTTATTATACTTCTAAATTTTTATAAAAAAAACATTTAAAAACATAATATAATAATTTATAATGCCTTTTTGTAACTGCTTGACCTTATTTAAAAAGTTGAGTTAGAATTATAAATGCCAAGACATCCAATTACATCACTTTCATTTTTTTACATATCTTTTTACATAAGAAAATTAAAATATTAGTAACTTATTCCCAATCACACTTATTTGAAAAGATAATTGAAAGTTAATTTTTTATTTTTATTTTTATTTTTTTTGGCTTCTTAAAAAAATATATATAAAAAATCTGAAAAATGACTATTAATTCCCTTCCCAAAAAGCATGATTAGAATTTTGAACGTGACATGTAGGTAAACTGGGGATCATGGTAGAGATGGATGTAGGAAAACAGACCCCAAAAGGGCGTTGTCAGCAAGTTGGAAGAAGCAACGTTAGAATTCAATGATTTCATTATAAACTCTGTACTTGGCCTCGTGCGTGCTCATAATTGGGGGTTCTGTAGAGGATACCCTTCTTTACCAGACACATTTATCAATATCCCATCTTTGTCCCCAAAAGCCCATTTCTCTCCTTTCTCTCTCTCTCTTCACGCCTCCTGATCCTCGTCATCAATGTGCTTTGAATGAATCATTAAATAAAAGAGAGGCACATCAGACACAAGCCTCTCATGCCTTGAACCACGGGTCACGAACCACAACAACACAATCTTCCTCATACATTAAAAACACACCACCATCCAAAATCAATTTTATAATTAAAACAACAATAATCGAAAGATTGTACTTGTCCTTGCAAAATAAACAAAAACAAAAATAATTAAAAAAAAAAAACGCTTCATGTATTTTCTTTCCTACCCCAGCTTTACTTCTCAAGAAAATGAAGGAAAATGAGGGGACTAATCTTATCTAATTCTTTCATTTCAAACTAGTTTTTTCTTTTAATATTATGCGTTGTTTGTTTCCCCCACACGATTCACAGAAAAGGAGGGATTTGGGAAGAAACCTCCCAAACATCAAACAACCCTATCCATTGTCAACCTTATCTAACAAACAAGCAAGCTTGAATCAGACACACCCCAAAAGCTTCAGTATTTACACCTACTCACCACCACCAGCAGTAACAAATTTAGATGGTTGTTCTCATGAGGCTGCAGAAGATTGATGTGGTGGTTGTGATTGGGGTTGGGGTTGAGAAAATGGGTAGAACCTGGGCCTGGAGATAGGAAAAGGGGTGGTGGCTTTGGATGATGGGTCAGTACTATTTGTGGTGGCGGCGGCGGAGGGGGTGGTGGTTGTTGTGGTGGTGGCGACACGCTCACAAGAAGGGCACATGGTGAGGGTGGTGGCTGGGAGTTGCATGTAAAAAGGGTTACTAGTCTTCAAAGCCCTCAACTCTTGAAGCTCCTTGTGTAGCCTTCTGTTCTCTTCTGTTAGTGTCTCACAACACCTCTTCAAGTACTCACAATCCACCTCCGTTTGCTTCAACTTAGTCCTATAAAAATTTGTAAAATATTTATTAATTTAAAATAAAATATAATATAACAAACCCATTAATTAAATAAACAAATAAATGTATATCACCATATAAACAATCATAGATATATACCATTTAAACAATCATAGATATATACACATGAAATACATGTAAAAATATATAAATAAATAAGTAAATAAACCAACCTTGCTCTTCGATTCTGAAACCAGACCTCAACTTGTCGAGGACGAAGATTAAGCTGTTTTGCAAGCGCAAGCTTTTGTTTCTGAATCATTAAAAACAAAACCCATATCACAAAATAAACAAAATCTCTCTCTCCATATATAAATATATATATATATATATATATATAGAATACTTACGGGATTGAGGGTGTTGTGTTCTTTGAAGCTTTCTTCGAGATAAGCAGACTGTTCTTTGGAGAGTCTAAGCTTCTTCCTGGCGAGGCCGTTCTCGTCGTCGTCGCTGGCTCTAGACGACGTCCGCCGTCGTCTCCGGCGGCGGAGCCATCAAAGACCCTCTTGTTCCCTCCACCATTTCCGGCGCCTCTGTAAATGCAGAAATCCATCTGAAACGGCGCCGCTACACTGTTGGGGGAAGACTCCGCCGCCGCTCCATCCTCCGCCTCCTCCTCCGCCGTCACCGGTGGCATCCTGTTCACATCAAACCCCCTCGCCGCCGCCGTCAAACCCCTCTGCCCCGACGAACCCCCCTCCGAACTCCCTATACAAATCCCCCAAAATCAAAATCAAATTCAAACCCACAAATCAAGAACGCATATATATGTAGAAATATGAGTGGTACCGTTATCAGAAGGCCAGGAGACGCCTTGGTGGGTGGTGTTGCGAGGAACAGGAGAGCGAGGGAGGAGATCAAGCTGGAGTGGAGGATCAATAGAGAGTCTTTGATGATCATCACCATTTCTTCTACTTCTCTTCAATGTTTCTTCTGATTCTTCTTCACCTTTACCACTTGCTTTTTCTCTCTCTTCTTGTTCTTGTTTTCCATTAGAGTTGTTGATCCCCAAGCCCATGCAAAACCCTACACCGCCGTTTCTACTAGTGTTAGTGGTTTTAACCTCTCGATCCTTTGCCAAGAACCCAAATGGTCTTGATGGGTCTCCTAAGCTCAAACCCAACTCCATCTCTCATGTACAGACACAAGGAGACCAGGAGGAGGAGAAACAAAAGACTGTATAGAGAGAGAGAGAGAGAGAGAGAGAGAGAGGGGGGATTTGGATCGGAAGCACTGGAAAGAGTCTTTTATAGAGATTCTATTCAATCTGTTAATTATTATTATTATTGTTTAATATATTTTTTACTACTATTATTATACCATAAACTCAGAGAAGAAGGCTAGTACTAGTAGCAGAGAGGACTAGACCCAAACAGTCCCTTTTCAATTTTTTGGTTTTTGGAATTTTTAACTTTTTTATTTTTTTGTAATTTTTAATTTTTATTTATTTATTTATTTTTTATCGAGGGAAACCAGTTTGACCGACAAACCCAGGTTGACAAAAAAACACACACGTGAAACCCTAATTTCTTAAGGGAGGACCCCTGTTTGGAGATATTGGAGGACCTTTTTTATTAGTTTTTATCACAAAAGAGTACACCACTCTCCTTGGGGGTGCGTGAGTTGCAGAGAGAGAGTCATTGACATGCATGGAAGATGATGGAGGGGTGTTTGTTGCCTTTGGCTTTTAGGGCAGTGCCTATGATTAGAGGTTGGGGGTGGGTGTCTGGATCTGCGTCCAATAAAGTCGTATGGGGTGTAGGGGCTGCTTGTTTTCTTGTCAATTGGGGGAATACTACTGAATACTCTCTCTCTCTCTCTCTCCCTCTCATCCTAGTAGTAAAAACGACAACTCAAAGTCCTACCTAGCTCTACCCAAACCAAAGGTGAACCATATTATACTTCTTTTCACAATTTGCCTTGTAAAAGTTTGTTTTGTCTTAACCATTTTCACTAATTAGAGGATCACCAATACTACAAAAAATTGAGACTTGTGTACTTAAAATTTATTTACAAAAATAAATCCATAGTCCAAATTCATTACCAATTTTTTTAAACAAATAATTGTTAAAAATTTAATGGAAAAATGTAATTCATTCTTCATTTGATGAATATATTGAATCCCATTTTTATTAATTTTTTTTAACAAATTTAAATTTGATGAAAGATTTTGTAAAAAATTAGATATGCTCTTAATAATTGGTATTTTGGGTCCGGTGATTATTTGAGAAACCCATTTCTACATAAAAAATATAAAATAAAAATTTGGTATCAATGGCAAGTGGGTACTACAAATAGATGAGAATCTTTTATGGTGCAATTTATTTATAGATAAATTCTAAATATATCTTTTGAGATTTAATTAAAATACAAATCATTCATTGTGATTTTGAAAATTACATTCCACCTTCTGAGATTTCAAATTTTATAACAAATCGCCCCTTTTATTAATTAATCATCGAGTCAATTAACAGTTTCTAATGATGTTAAAAATATGTTTCAGTTAATAATTTGGATAATTTTATTATTGTATAGGTGAGCAATTATGAATTTCATTTTTTTAATTAATTCTGTTAAATAAAATTTTTTAGTAATGGGATATTTATAATTTTTCAAACTATAGGAACAATCTGTACTTTAAGTAAATTTTAAAAAGTATTTGTAATTTACCCTTTATTGTGTGTGTGTGTGTTTTTTTTTTGGTAGCATAGACTTATATCCCGTTGATTAGTAATTATTTGTGTTCATATAGACTGATTTGTTGCGATCTAAAAAACAAATCCTTCCTTTAGTAGCAAAATTTAAAAAAATGGAAAAACTAGATCAATGTAAACTATCGGTGAACATGATTGATTCGGTTTGATTTAGAAAATTAATTATAAAATTGTTACTTATGATTCTAAATTTTTTTTATCCAAATTAAATCATTAAATCTAAATAGATCGAAACATCGAGATACAATTCGTGTAGTTTTGAAATCACTATTTTTTACAACTTACCATCACTCATGATATCCTCACACAAAATTATTTAAGACATAATAAATGCATCATTATCAAACATTACACAACATGCCATCATTGACATTTTTCAAAAACATTCAAACTGCCATTATTTTTTCAAACAAGAATTAACATAACATCAAAACAAGAAAAAAGAAAAGAAAAGAAAAGAAAAGAAAATTGTCATTAATTTTCAAACATCAATTAAACAACCAAATTTTCATGCTCTCCATTAGGGTTATGAAATTAGGTATATTTATATGAGGTTTTGATCGTGTACTTCTAGCGTAAGAAAAATAAGTTATATATGAACCGGTTTCAAATCAGAACTATGCTTCACTTATTTTATGAACCAAACTGAACCGATTATTTTCTCTTACTTTGATGTACTAGGATTGAGATTGAATGGAGTTCGTAAAATAACAAGATGGTTCCAATTAGGTCGTGTTGTCCCATCACAGGGCTCATAATGAGAATTAACTTTGTTATTTTGTAGACCTTTGCGTATTGATTTTTAAGAAAATCATATTAATTCTACAAGCAAAATTACGTGATTTTAACATATTTTATATTTAAAAAAAATAAATAACAAGTATGATTTTAAAATAAATTGTTTATTTTCTAAAACAAACATGATGAGATCATGGTCTTTTTTTTTTAGAATAATCCATCCACTAGATCAACAAATGAACGAATTAAATTACCAAATGGAATCACGGTGGACTCCCAGACCTAAGCCAGACATGTCCGGCCCACAAAGTAACAGGAGAAAATTCAATCTCAATTAAAATTAATCAAGACGTGCTAGTTTACTAAAAAATTCCTAAAATGACTTATTTTAAGTAGGGAACTTTTTAAACTATTTTTTGAGATTTCAAATGTTAAATAATATAGATAAATGCAAATGACTCGAAAATGATTGTGTTTTCAACTTTTTATCAATTTCGTTTTTCAAATATCAACGAATGGAAACGAAAATAATGAAACCAAAATCAAATAGACCGTTGGATTATGATTTTAAGAAAGTTAAGACAAATAAATGTTAATCAAGTAGTCAGACAAAGACCAAGAGAACGCAGTTTCATAATTTCTTGGTGAATAGCCTTTTAACATATATGTGTAATGAGAAGTTATAATTATGGTAATGCTTTTTTTTTTTTTTTAAATTTATAACTGTAACTCCTGCATTAATAGGATTTGTAACTCCTGTATTAATGGAGTTTGTAACTCCTGCCTTTATTGCAGAGATTAATGGTGCATTAATGACTAGCCATAAAGGTTAGAGGCTTTTCCTCTCTCCCTATACATGTATAAATTAAGACCCTCCTGTCAAGTCTAAAACACACAGAAATTTTTCATGTTCTGACTCTCCCCCAAAAACAACGATCAAAGCCGTTTGCACTGTGATTTGTGTGGGTGATATTCACTGTTGTAATATTACCCCATTGCTGGGTTGACTGATCAGATTCAGGAAGCACGTGATTTACCCACGAGATTTTTTCTATTTAGACTCTTTAGGAAAGGTATGACCATAATTTTTATTCCGCTGCGTTATACTGTTGATTTACATTGGTATCAGAGCCTAGTTGGGTATTTTCGTGTTTTCTTAATCATGTATATATATGTATACATTATATAGCATGAATTGTTTGTAAATTTACATGAAGATGCTATTGTATGGAATTTATCATGCTTTGTATATGCCTTAAGTAGTGAGAGATTGATTGATTGTTTTTTGCGCATGGAATTAAATTAAATTTTGATAATTATCACTAGAGGCGCAAGAGATGATTACGAGCATAGCAAATTTTCGATCTTGAGACATATGTAAAATTATCATTATTTAATTTAGATTCTTTTTTTGCTGCAAAATAATTTTTTTTTGTGTTGCTATCATTAATATCCCCTGCGCATTTGTTTACTCTATATGTAGAAATGACTGCTAAGACAGTGGTGGCAGACTTAACTAAGGGAGAGAAATTGGATGGCGACAATTATGACATATGGCGCCGTAAGATCCAATACCTCCTCAATGAGCAAGAAGTGTTGACCACACTTGAACAAGTGATGGTTGAGCCAGAGCAGGGCAATACAGCTCAACATCGTCGTGATCTTGAAGCCTTTCAGACTTGGCGTAACAAAAGTATGCAAACTATAGAATCCAGAACTAATAAGACATGCAAGTAAATTTCAAGAAAATTTCCTGTGAAAAGATTAGTGTTATGGGAATAGAAGTGCAATGCAAGTCTACTTTCTGGAAGGTCCTAACCTGCGTTGATCTTATTCATTGCCTTGCAAAACAGAGGCATGAGGTGTGTCAGATAGTTCTGGACGATATTCAAAAGAGGAAATCTCAAATTAGTTGGATAGTCGCAAAAAATTACATTTTTATGAGGTGCAAGTCTGTCATGTATATGGTGCAAGTTCTTGCAAGTTTTTTTTTTTTTTTTTGTCTGCCTTGCAACACACACACATCCACATATAAAGATATATGGGAAGTTGGTTTTTAGCCACTGGTGAAATTACAATTCTATCCCTTATGGGTCAAAATGTGCTACACAGGTGAAGTTGTAAATATTTTACATTGAATGGGGGTAGTTTGGTCATAGATCATCTAGTTCTACATCTCTGCTCTATATTCACTGTCGACAACTCACATCGCTCTTTATAGGATGCTGATTGGGTGTGAATATAATGCGGGACCTAGGAGAGTCAAACATGCTCTTTGAGGGATTAGAGATGTTTTTGGACTGATGTAGCTAGATGGGTCTGGGTACATGAGACACTATTTCTGTTCTTTTTGGGTTGATGTCTCTGTGAAGAGATCTATATGGATCAACCAGAAGGCTTTGTGGCAGTAGGTCAGGAGCGCAAAGTTTGCAAGCTTCAACGATCTATTTTTGGCTTAAAGCAATCATCCAGACAGTGGAATCTGAGATTTCATCGAGCCGTTGTTTTTAATGGGTTTACGATGATTGATGAAGATCACTGTGTGTACGTTAAGCGGTCCAAGGACATTTTTCTGGTTCGTTGAGTATCGCCGAGTACTTGCTGGGAGCAGAAAAGTTTACATGGGGAACGAGTCCAGTGTGGAGGTGTTTGGCATTGGCACATTCAAGCTGGAAATGCGACGAGGGCGCACCTTGTATCTTCATGATGTTCTTTATGCTCCGGATATTCGGTGAAACTTAGTTTCAGTTATTAGCATGATGAGCCTTGGTTTTAGCTTTTGTTTTGAGAATAA